TTTCCTTTCCTTTCCTTTCCTTTCCTTTCCTTTCCTTTCCTTTCCTTCCTTCCTTCCTTCCTTCCTTCCTTCCTTCCTTCCTGCTCCACTTTGTGCTTCCTTAACAAGTAGACTTGCACAACAAAAATGAAATCTACCAATTTGGGGTCAGGACGCTGCATACCAAGTCACGAAACAAACACAAGGTTTCCAATTTGAACCGTTTCACATTCAATACAGATAGTCCTCAACTTAAAACCATTTGTTTAGTGACTGTTCAAAATTACAACAGCTCTGAAAAAAATAACTTATGACTGTTTTCCACATGGCCATTACAGCATCCTTATGGTCACATGATCAGAATTTGAACCCTTGGCAACTGATTCGTATTTATGACAGTGGCATTGTCCTGAGATAGAGTGATCCCCTTCTGACAAGCAAAGTTAATGGGGAAGCCAGATTCACTTATTAATCATGTCACTAACTTAAAAACTGCAATTCACTTAACAACTGTGAAAAAGATGGTCATAAAATGAAGCAAAACTCTTTGCCATAACAATTTAACACTTAACATTTGTTTTGCTTGGCAACATAAATTTCGGACTGAATTATGGTCGTAAATTGAGGACTACCTGTACTATGAGTATAAAACATTTATTTCATACTTAACATAAGCCATTTCCATCATTTTAGGGAAATTTGGAGCTGCAGAATGATGGGAAATCCCTTCAGATGCCAAATCTCCCTGTGTTCCACTCCTGCTACAGATAGTCCTCTATTTACGACCATTCGCTTAGCAACCGTTCAAAGTTACAACGGCTCTGACAAAAGTGACTTATAATTGCTCCTAGGACCCTCCCCTCACAGCATCCGAATTCACATGATCACAGTTGGGATCCTTAGCAATTGACTCATATTTATGACGGTTGCAGTGTCCTGGGGTCCCATGATTAGCATTTGCCATCTTCTGGCAAGCAAAGTCAATAGGGGAAAGACAGATTCACTTAACAACCATGTGTTTTGCTTAGCAACTATGGTGGTTAGCTTACCAGTGCAGTAAAAATGGTCATAAAATTGGATGCAACTCACTTAACAACCACCTCACTCAGTGACAGACATTCCGGTCCCAATTGTGGTCATTAGTTGAGGGCTACCTGTCTGTAACTCAAAATGTTTTCTTTTTAGTCCAACCCAGTTAAATTTAACCCATTTATCCCTTTAAGATTGGAAATCAGCTTCTAACTAGGTTTAAGAGAGTGCAAATGTTCAGCCATCGTCAGCTTAAGTGATTTGTGGATTTAATTATGCCATTTTGCTAAAATTGGTTGCAATCTTGGAAAAAACAATCGTGGGATGGTGTTGATTTTTATTTTTCCTCTCAATTCTTTCCACTCCAGGTTTTTAAATTTCTTTTATTTGCATAACAAATTTAATGTGATTGTGAGCTTCTGCCTTTTTTTTAACACCATGCTGTTCATACTGTTTTCTTTGTAGTCACTGAACAAGAAACTAAAGTGCCTAAGAAAACCATCATCATGTAAGTCATATATATGCATATATATCTCTATATATACATAAATTAGCATTTATGTTGTGCTGTGCTGCCTCTCTGCATGTCTCCATTATCAATCTATACAGGAGATCCTTGACTTACAACCTTTCATTTAACCCTTCATTCTAAGTTACAGCATCACTGAAAACAGTGACTTATGACCATTGCAGCATCCCCATGATCACATGATCAGAATTTTGGGACTCAGCAGTTGGCATGTAAGTTACGAAGGTTGCAGCATCCCAAGGTCACACGGTCCCCATCTGCAACCTTCTGATAAGCCAAGTCTGTGAGGGGGAATCTGGATTCCCTTAACGACGACCTGACTCATTTCACAACTGCAATTATTTGCTTAACAACCATGGCAAAAGAAAGGTTGCAGTCTACAACTGCAGCAAAAGTAAAGGTCATAAAATTTGGCGTGACTCACTGAGCGCCCTCACTTAGCAATCAAAGTGCCAGTCTCAGTTGTGATTGTAAGGCAAGGACTACCAGTATTTATTGACTGCAAAATTGTTTCTTAACATCCTATCAGGTCTAGCGGCATTTTGGGGGAGTTGGGATAAAAATAGGCCAGGGGACAAAACCACTCGAGGTGTGATTGTCTATATTGCAATCTTCCTGTGATATGATCCAGATTCAAATTGTGAGGCCTATCTAACCAATTAAAATTGACTTTTCTTCCCTGACATATAACAGTTTCATTGCATTAAATTGAAGGGAGTGAATAATCCCATTCCGAAGAGAATTAAAAGTAATCTGAGCTCTTAATAATCTATTAACTGCTAGTCCATCTGTTTCTCTCCCTTCCTTCCTTCCTTCCTTCCTTCCTTCCTTCCTTCCTTCCTTCCT